CGCACATACACACACACACACGCACACACACACTCACCACAGACGACCGAACTGAAAATGTTTGTTTATTGCAGATGCTATAGCACTTGATATCTCCCATAAGAGTGACATTTTTAAATTTAGAATTAGATATGTATGTTTTTACTTATGTGTATTTATAGCAGTCGGTCATAATTTTTGCCTGGAACTGCGTGTGTGTATATGCGTGCATATGTATTTATTACATCGTGGTTGTGGTTTTTGTTCATTCTATTTGTACATTTTTATTTACCGAATGTATTTACATAATTATAAACAGAACGCAAACATGTTAACGAAATGGTATTAATAACTAGTTTGAAAAAAATGGATAAGAAATTACTAAAAAATAATTATCCGATCCCATTTTTCTAGAAGTGATAATTAAAAAATGGAAACATTTACATTAGATGCTAACATTTCTTACGCCAAACACCCAACAACAATAAAATATTATTTCGTAAAAAAAGCTTATTATTTTGCTCCATTCTACCATCAGACTTTATAATTAGAAATTGTTAGTGACGTCTGAAGCATGCATGCAATCATTCATTTACGCATACACACACGTATGCAAACAAACATACACGCATATTGTTATATTGCTCGCTCTTCGCCCCATTCTACAACACATAGTTCGTTCTTGGGGAAACGACTCACCCATTATTGTTAGTAATATTTATTATTGTTTAATGTTATAACGAAACTTAAATTGTGAAATTGAATAACGTTAATAAAAAGAATGTAAAGGCTATCTAAAAATGTTCAAATGTGCTAGAGTGTGTTAAGTCTTAAAAAGTGTTTAAGAGATAGCTAAAATTTTTTAACTTTTTTTAGATTATATGCTTGCCTATTATATACTAGGAGACCGTGCTCCCTAGAGTTTATCTAATTTTCTAACTCTTTCTAATTAGTCAGTCCCTATTGTATGTCTTATTACTTAGAGTATTATGTGTCGTTCTGATTAATTATACGTTATTTTATCTTATATTGAGCTGCTTTATGTCTGTAAATTTGCTGTCTCGTCTTGAACTACTTTTATAACTTAACTATCATTATAATTACATATCCACTTTAACATATATCTATATACAACCTATATTTACTCATAACTTAAATCATCGCTCACACGTATATAGATTCACATACATACATATAAATACATACATACACATGCAAACATATACAAAGTCACACGCTACACAACTATATACACACATTCACAACACACAAACATACACACACATTACACATGCATACACATACACATATATACATACACACATACACACACAGACATACTCATACACATATACATACACACATACATACGTACGTGTAAATCATTATTTCTACCATGGAATATACGCTATACGCACGTACATAAAGCACACACACGCAAATAACTTTACTTATACTTTCACATATAATAAAAATTTGCCCACACACACACACACACACAATAACAAACACATACTTACACGTACATTTATTCACATCTTTTTAAACATTTAGAAATTTTTATTTACATTCATTTGCTAGTTTTGTAGTATGCATGTTTAACGAACACTTTCCACGCGTGCGTTTAACACATTATACAAATATAGAAATGTGTTTGTTATTTGTTGCAAACAGCAGTTACAAAAATAAATGATGTTCCCCTAGCCGGCCATCAGTCACATTCATAAGTCATCAAAATGTTGTTTTTTTTGTTTGTATCCTTTTTTTTGTTTGTATCCTTTTTTTGTATCGCGTGTTTGCATGTCTGCGTGTGCATGTGAAAATGCATATATAATTTGTTTCCCGGCGCATGCTGCTGTCAATATGTGTATATTTATGCGCGCGCGCGCGCGCGTGTGTGTGTATAGGTGTGTGTGTGTGTTGGTAGGTAGGTCTTTTTATTAGTGTGTACGTATATTTTAAGGATTTTGTCTGATTGGTCTTTTCTGTGAAACTTATGAAACCCTAAAGAAAACAAGGTAATTAGGAATTTTGTTCAATTCCAACGCATGCTCAAGCAACTAATTAGCACGCTTCAGTCCGGCAAATTAATTCATAATAATTAAAGACGTATATAGGTAACTAAATTTTTACTTTTTCGCAAAACAAAATCCTTCGAACAATTTGACTCAACTTTTGATAGCTATTCTCATATAAAACCTAATTATAAATTATTCTTTCTTCAATATTACTCTAGTGTTTGAGACTACATCTATTATAATTTTTTTTAATATAATCTAAAAATTATTTAGCAGATCTTACAGCAATGGAACCCAGTGCAATAAGCGACACATTTGCAGACCCACATGCAAACATTTCCTCACAGACGCCGTATGACACTTAAAGTTCACCGGCTTGAAAGAGGAATAAGTGAGTTAATAAGAAACGACCGTGACTCATGTTCCTTCAACTCCAATCCCATGATGTACATTCTCCACTTCTTTCACTTCTACTATACCACCATCATTAATACCATTACTACTAATACTACTACTGCAAGTATTAATATAACCTGTCTATACTGCCATTTTTTAAACAAATGTTTTTAATCTTACTACAACATACCAATACTGATGTTACTACTGCTAGCCATTTGATTAAACTCGCATTACTACTACGGACAAAATTACTACTACCCTTACTACAACTATAATTAATCTGCAGCTACCATTATATCGATTTGTTGAACTTGCAAATTTACTTTGATGAACATTATGCGCTAATGTATGTCTGCCATTAACCAGTGAAGGAAACATCAAGGAGTGTACAACAACAACAACAACAACAACAACAACAACAACAACAACAACAACAACAACAACAACAACAACAACAACAACAAAAACAACAACAACAACAACAACAATTATACGCTAACTCCACAACTGTTGCTTGAACACACAATAACATCAAATAAAACAACAAATGAAATGAAACTGCTGTTATATATTTTTTATGATTAGTTAGCATAAACATTTTTTGCCGATTTCAAAATGTTTTTGTTCGTTGGTATGAAAACTGCTTATCTATAATTCAGCAGTAGTGTTAAGCACAATTGAAAATGAAACTGAAAAATTTCACTAGCAAACAACGACAGTTTTATGAGAAACCATTTGTAATTTTTAAATCATATGATAATAAAACCCTCTTTGTGTATATGCAATATCAAAGATTTTTAATAAAAACAAAAATATATGTTAACACATTTTTGCAACAACATCCTCAAACAAATAACAACATTGGCAAACACCTCAGAAAAGCAACAAAAACTTCACAAAACGACACAAAAACCTGCACCAACATAACACGGCATGTTTTTAAGCATGAGTGGTCACTGCAGTCGCGACAAGTGCAGCCAGTAAGCAGACAGCAGGCACATTCACCTTTGCGGTGATTGATGTTTTGAACTGACCGGGCTTCCTTTTTGATCCCAGCCAATGTGATTAATGACCGATTGCACGCTCTGATTTGCACTGATGATTGCTTATTGGTTGAAGGAAAGGAGACGAATGATAATGACCGCGGTCACGTGATGATGGTGACGCTGATGATGACTACGTGACGGCGATGACGATGATGATGACCGCTATCTAAAAACTACAAGAGAGTACTTAAATGCTGATAAAAGTGACAATTATTATCTTGTTGAAAAACCGTGGTGTTGATGATGATTACGATGATGATGTTGATGCTAACAATTATAATGATGACGATAAAGATGAGGATCAGGGTGGGTGACGATGATGATGATGAGGAGGAGGATGATGATGATGATGATGAAGGATGATGATGGTGACGATGATTGAATGTTTGTACTGTTGTCACGTACTTTATATCTAATCTTCATCAACTTTGATGACGATGCAGTGCGGTGGTGATAATGATGACGGTGATGGCCTAGATAATGACGGACGATGATGATAAGGATTATCATAAAAATCGTGATAGTCGTGATGGTGAGAATTATGATTAAAAAAGAAAATGATATAAAAGATAAGATTAACGTTAGCGACAAAGATGATGATGATAAAAATGATAAAAATTGATAATGATATCTGAAATGATATCTGCAATGATGGTAAAAATAATGACAACAATGATAATGATAGTGAAAAGGATGAAAAATAAAGTAGGGGGAGGAAAAAATAGAAGATGTTCATAAAGACAAGAAAGATAAACTTTAAGAACATTCCTGTTATCATCATCATCTTCTTCTTCATCCTCCTTATCCTCATCTTTATCTTCATTCGCATCTTCATCATTCTCATCGTCATCATCATCATCAACCATTTCAAAACGATAATACAAAACAGAGTTATTGAAAACCCCGAAAGACAAATGCCTAAGTGTTGTCGAATCGATCGCATGGAATAGTAAAAGAAATAAAAAGTTGTAAAGAATGTAAATGGTCGAACATATCTCGTGTCGAACGCAGTTAAAATAGCATCTCCTCGCTGTTGCTTCTTTGCTTCTTCTTCTTACGTTTTTTTTTCTTTTTGAAAATCTTCTCCCGCGGGTGCCATCAACGCGTTTCATTTCCGTTTCCTGTTTTCAATAATTTCAAGTTTTACTTACTCGCTATTGTCTTTTTTCTTGGTTTGTTTCTATTTTTGTTTCATGAGTTTTTTAATGTTTTTCAAATATTTTGAGCATTTTTTTAAAAAGATATTTTAGACAATTTTTTTATTGCACCAAAGTTTTAAATAAATCTCTTGAGGATTGAATGTAATACGATATTTTTTTTTCCAAATTTATTTGACAACAAAAAGTCAGGAGATCAAAAAAGTAACAAAAGTACTTGTGAAGACCACCACGACTAAAATCAAACAAAAAATTACAATAATAGACTAATAATAATAATACATTCACAAAATTAGTTAAATACATTTAGCAACCATGTTAATAAAAAAATGCATCGCATAAAAGAAGTAAAAAAAAAGTACTGAATCACAAAACAAAATGAAGGTCATACATAAACACAG